AGTTGATCCACTGCATATTATCATGTGAAGGGTAGAGAAAACGTCTGCTACGGAATCAATATTTCGCTAGGGTTTACAACGACTGGGCATCGTTAGGCAGATGAAGGGATTGGCGACGCATCTACTCTGTGATTCGAGGGACTTCCGGTTCGAACTTTGGTCCAGCCCAGACGAGGCCTGATGTAAGCATCACAAATGTACGCCGCTGTCCTTCAGACATTGAAACCTCGCGAGCCTTAATGACTTCGCCTCTAGCATCCCAGTTATTGCTCTCGTCAGAAAACTTTTAGGTTTCCGATATAACTAAAACATGCAGAACTGACACTGCAGGGTAGTCATCAAGAATTATTCCTCCGCTGTATGCTCCAAATCTTATTCATGGCTTTGTGCGGAAGACAACATCCCCCTCCTTAAAAGAGAATGGGGCTTTCCTGCTTGCCAGGGGTCCACAGTAATCAGGACGCGTTCCTGGCGGTTAACCTGCTTCGACTGTTGTTTAGTTTACTGCCTCCCCTTGTACTCCAGGTGGAAATCAATTGGAGGTACTGCCGGAGAACCGGGAAACACACCGCTGGGTTTCAGATGTCGGAACACTACGAGCGCAGATGATGATGAGAGCGTCTAAGTTATTTTCAGTAGGCTTCCGATCTAACTAAAATATATGGAGCTGACTCTGCAAAGTAGAATAACATTGATGGCATGACTGAGGAAGACTAGAATGGCCAGTTATGGCTGGTTGGCCGTCACCAGACAGTCATACCTAACCCCGAGATATCTAAAGGGCAATCATCAAGAACTATTTCGGCAGATACCTGAAATCCTATTTGCGGCATTGTATGCAAGGCATCATTCATCTTAAAAGAAAATGAGGCTTACCTGCCAAGTAGTCAGAGGAGGGGAGGGGGAGGGAGAGGAGACGGCGGGCCAGCCGGCCACCTGACTCGTTCGGCGCAGGGCCAGTCAGCATCACAAACGCGCGATGATAGTGATGGACCAGTACAATAATACGCTTTTTTAATGCTTGCTTGCCATTAAGTTGATTATTCACCAGTTGATCCACTGCATGCTGTCATGTGAAGAGTATACAAAGCGTCAGCAACAGAATCAACATTTCGCAAAGGTTAACAAGGATTGAGAATGCCTGGGCATACGGTGAGGTCGGCGATGCGTCTGCTCCGTCATTCGAGGGGCCTTCGTTTCGAAATTTGGTGAAACCCAGACAGGGCCTGATGTAAGCATCACCAAAGCACGCCGCTGGCCTTCAGACGTTGGAACTCTGTGAGCATAAATGATTTCACTCTTAATGGCGGCGTCCGAGTTATTGCTCTCGTCAGGAAAATTTTCAGGAAGATTTCAATCTAGTTTAAATACTATTTGGCGGGTCAATTTGGAGCGTGAAATATGGAGGTGAATCTGTAGAGTAATTACTGGGACTTGCTCAGATGGATGGACGTTATTGTATTCAAGACAAAATCCTTATGGCCAATCAGACGAAAGGTTACGAGCGTCAACTGTTCCTTGGCTTACTGCCTTCCGTTTTAAACCCTGTGCCCCAGGAAGAAATCAAGTGGAAGTATAGCCGAAAAGGCAAGATAGCCACTCTATTAACCCGAGAGGTCAGCCCATCGGCCGATGTAGATCGCGGTAAGGGAATTGTGCACAAAATGAAGCCAACATAGAGCTCAGTAGACGTATGAATTGGGGAAAACCGCATTCATAAGGAAGTAGGTTGCTACTTACTTGCATGCGTTTTTGGAATAGGCGGTGAAAGTCAGAGTCAAAATTGCTTCAGAGACTGTTCGAAGAGACAGGGAGGGAGAATGACGGAGAGATGAGGCGAGGGAGAGATAGTTATTCCTGCCCCTGCACGAAATGTTCTGTCATATACATACAGTAGGTGGAATAACTCATGAAATGTCAACCGAAATTCCGAAAGGCGTTTCCGTTTCAAAAAGATTAATTAAGTAGGGTTGTAAAACTGGTCAGCCTGTAACATACTTCTATAATATTCCAGTTGCCTCAGGATGCCGGCTTTCGAATGAACTTTCTTCCCCGCTACATGCACAAACTACACTCTGCAAAAAAGGACTACTTAAGTAGCATGCATTTTCTCATTTTCGATGCCCCTAAAAGTCCATTTGTATTTCACGGAAAGCATGCATAAAAATATTCATTGTTTTACTCCTTCGGTAGAAAACTGCGTAATCTTCCAATTTTATGCTCGAAGGAGGGACATCATTCGGTTTTAAAAAAGTTTATACTTGTAGGACGTTTCCCTACCGTCATATCTGTGCATTTACCAATGTGACTTGTAAAGTTAGCAATATAGACCAAATCCACTGCTTAATTTTATAAACCCTGTATGGTTCCTCTTTATTACCGTAGAGAAATGTGTGGTTTTCCGTACACGGAAAATGTAGGCTTGCATTTTGGAAATCCTGAATCTACGTGACGGTGAAGGAGATTAAAAAATATTTGCGAATTGGAAAAAAATTTGAAAACCGAATTACACCCTTCCTTCGTGTATAAGATTGGAAGAAGACGTCAAAAATTGGATATTTTCATGCATGTTTTCCATGAAACTGAAATACTATAGAATTACTTTGCAGGCTGACTGGTTTTCGACCCGAAAGCGCATTTCGGAATTTCGGTCGACGTTTCATAAGTTAGCCCAACTACTGTACATACCTACATATAGTATCTTCCACAAGTTGCAGTCTGCGAGCTCAGTGCGTGCACACCCGTGTTCATGCGTACGCTTATCTCCTTTCACGAAAGGCCTGTCAATTAACCAGACTGGTAGCTCTGGTCAAAGGACCTGTCACGTCGTTGCAGTCTGAGTCGGCAGCCTTAAGTATTCGACTCATGCATCCAGCCAGATGTCAGTTAGTTGAGTAGATGTAACTTTCGCTTAGTGTGCCGATGTCGTCACAGAAACGATAGACTGAGGAGGGGCGACATGTAGTGGACTACGGACCAGAGGATAGAAAATTACTTATGTTTGTTTTGCGTCAATTGAAACTTCTATCTGATAGCGCAACGCAAAATGAGAGTAAAAGTGCAAAAAAGCGATCAACACTGGAATTAAGTCTTTGGTGGGTCTCAAAAAAATTATTAATACTGGGTAACGCGCCTGATTAAACTTTCTGTGCAGTATTATCGACCCTAAATATTCAACCGACTCTGGAGAATAGTCCGCAATGATTTTGTCCGTTTGGGCTAAAATACCGCACAAACTACCCTCGTAAATCTAAAAATAAGAAACGCATCTTTAGAGTAGATATCAAGGCTTCCTTGAATGGACGCTCAAAATGTTGTCATAATTTAGTTTACAAAGCAACATCCTAGTCAATCGAGATGGGGAAACGGGACGCCGACTTCTGCAGTAATTAAAACGTATTTATGGAGGGTACCGTGCTTTCAGTGCCTCTTAGTTTTGGGCCGATCTTTACAAACCCTGTATTTTAGGTAACCCAAAAAGAACGAAATCAAGTGGGGTACGATGAACGGAAGTAGATGATCACTCGACGAATTTCGTTGGTCATTACGTCGGATGCCAATATCTCAAAAAATGCTCGCACAGATAAATGCTCGACATAACTGAGGGCAAGAGAGCAGTTTGCGGTTGAGTAGGAGAATTCGTTGACGTCACTGTTCAGTGCAAGTTTCGAACTTTTCAATTTTTTTTTGCGGAAGAACATGCTTAAATATTTTATCATCAACCAAGAAAGGCATGCAATAGTCTGATAAGAAAAATAGACATGAGCACTGCGCACAGAAAAATTAAGACGTATCTTTTCGCGATCGCAGATAAGAAGAACGTGTGGTTCATTTTAACCGCGCACACACACACACACACACACACACACGACAGTTCGACCGTCGCATCCAACGATGCCCACCGTATGCTCCACAGCAGGCTGGGACAGGGACGGTGACTTGCGCGGGGCTTCACATCGCCAGTAGACTTGCTCTGCATCTACCAAATTCTCTCCTCCTCCTCCTCCTCCTCCTCCTCCTCCTCCTCCTCCTCCCCCACCTGAACCCGGTGTCAAGACGGAGTCAAGAAGACCGGAGATGAGGGGGGCCGCAAGTGGATGGCTTGGACGGATCGGCACCTTGGCGCTCCACTCCTCACCCCTAGTCCACACAAGAAATGGCCGGGTTTTCGACCAACAACAACAGAGATTGGAGGCTGGCACGGCTGAAGCCGCACCTGGGCGTGCCGCCAACGTCCGGCTCGGATCCCACATAGTGGGTGTGCCATAAAAGCCACATTAAGAAGGAGCCATTGCAGCCTGCCTCTCAAACCACCTGCCGGCCAGTCCAAAACTGCAGCACACTCAACACTGGGCCGACTGCGAGGTTCAAGTTATCCCGTCCGTTGGCAACCTTCCAAGTCACGGCTTTTAGCTTGATGGCTTAAAGAGCGTCAGATTGTTTATGGTTTGTTTATAGTAAGGAAAATGCACTGAGCCGTCGACATCACTCACTTCTCCCATCCCCACACCTTAGCCCCTGTCCCAGCCGGTCAGCTGGCTGTAGCGGGGAATGGACTCTGTGGCTGACATAACTAGTCGCCTTGTCCGCGCCCACCACACGCACGACCTGGCCCCCCAAACAAAAACACCAGGATTTCACACATCGGGAGTTGAAAGGCATATCTCTCACAAGCGTGAGAGTACCGTGGAAGTAGCTGTATCGGCCCGGCCCCCAGCCCGCCAGTCCGCCATTCCACACAAATACACAACTGGACGGACTGCGTAGACTGAGTTGGGTCGTCAATCACCAGCCTTCCTATCCACGGCGCTTGACGCGTCGGAATAGTTTCAAACTCAAGTCATCCATGCAACAGGAGCCGCATGGAGACCGGGTAGAGACGCACACAGCCCTCTTGCGTGGGAGGTGGCGGTTGGGTGCTTGCGGTGGACGATATTGATGTGTGGTGAGATGGTGCTGAGGCAGGAAGGGTGTGATGGTGTGGTGCAGCCGGCGGTTGTCTACCGCAGGATTTCGTGGATGAGTATGTTGACGAATAGACCCATGCGGTGCGTGAAAGTGCGAGGGCAGTGTGAGCAGTGGAGGCGTATGCGGTGGCTGTAGGCTGGTGCTCCAGGCACTGGTTTGTCAGTCACTGTGCGATGGATTCGCAAGTGACCGACCAGGCCGATATGTGAGGCGAAGATGCGGTCGCAGAGAGGGCAGGTGTAATCCTGGTCATCACCTCTGGTGTCGACAATGGCGATGGTGATGTTTGAGGATGTGTCTGGATTGTGTGCAGTGGGAATGTGCATGGCAGGCGTCACAACGGCACGCGTTGGAGCAGCGGAGGGGGAGGATGAAGAGGAGGAGGAAGAGGAGCAGGAGGTAGAGGAGGAGGATGGAAATGGTGGTTCAGAAGAGCGGTCAGAGTTAGCCGGCGGCGGAGAGGACGAGGAAGGACGACATTTGGTGCGGTTCGAGAGGCGCAGTGGGTCCGAAGGTGTCCAACAAGTCCGATTCGTGCCCGGAATGTCCATTGACACCGAGGACACGTTGGAGTCGGTTGTACTTGGCATTGCGAGGTTGGTGCAGCTGTGATTTGCGCGCTTCGAGTTTGACTTTGGCGGTCGCGATGCGGTTGGCTTCATAGATCGCAGCGCATGTCTTCGCTGTCTTCCTCCAGGTCGGTCGGTCGGTCGCGGGCGAGGTCTTCCCAGTTGGTCAGATTAATTTGCAGACGTTTTAGGGAGGACTTCAGGGTATCTTTGTAGCGACGAACTTGACCTCCTTGGCGGCGGGAACCCGCGACTACGTCTCCATAGAAGAGTCGTTTGGGTAGCCGCGCGTCGTTCACCGCACGAGATGGCCGCTTCAACGCAGCTGTAGTTGTTTCAGCATGGTGGAGATTCTGAGGATTTCCGTCCGTTTTGATACATCAGTGTCGTGGATTCGGTTCAGCTACCTCAGCCTCAAGATGCGACGAAGAAAACTGGGGGGAAAGTTGTTGAGCTTGCCTGCCTGCTTCGAGTACACCGTCCAAGTCTCTGCTCCGTGAAACAGCGTCGGTAGGATAACGGCCTTGTACCTTTTCAGCTTCGTGCTGAGCTGGAGACCATGACGATTCCAAACTGTGCCTTGAAGGCGGCCGATGGTTGGACACACACGCACACGCACACAACAGTTCGACCGTCGCATCCGACGATGTCCCTCGTATGCCCCACAACAGGTGGTGGAAGCATGGACGGTGACTTGCGCGTGGGTTTATAGTGCCAGTAGACTTGTGCTGCATCTACCACACTCTCCCTTCCACCTTCCCCACCTGAGCCCGGTGTCAAGACAGAGTCAAGAAGACCGGAAATGAGGGAGGCCGCAGGTGGATTGCTTGGACGGATCCGCACCTTGGTGATCCACTCCGCACCCCTGGTCCACAAAACAAATGACCAGGATTTTGACCGACAAAACAATGGGGGGGGGGGTGGGGCGGCAGTGGTCCCAGTTTGTGCAACGACTGCCGACAACAGGGTCTGCCAGCGCATCCCGCAGATGTTGGCATTTGTTATTGCGCACAGATAACGCCTGCCAGGATCCGGTGTGGCCCCCGCGCTGGTCCAGCGCATCTAACACGCGGCCCGTTTAGGGGGCCAGACACAACACACACACTAAGTCAGCGAGCTGCAAGAACCGATTTATTCTATACGCAGGTCAGATTGTCGTGAGTTGGCTGATTGCTTGTGCGTCGCAACAAAGCGTTCGTCCGGTGCCGTGAAAGGGGTGGTGCGCTGTAAACGCGAGTCTGACAGGTTTGTGACGGACTATGCATGTGTCTAGATAAGTATTGCATCCAGGATGGATTGCTGAGGAAAGGCACGCGTGATGACGAGTGTCCACTGGTGTGACAGCGACACCGACGGACATGTGTGAGATGACGCCTGGTTGTGGGCAGCCTCCCACGCTGTGCACCAACTCTCCACTGGCAGGGCATCGGGCAGCGATGCAATTTCAGCTGAAATCTACAAGTACGGTGGCCACCGACTGATGCACCACCTCACGGCGTTCTTCCAGATGTGGCGACCAGGACGCTCCCTCGGGTCTTTAAACGCGAAGGGAATCGGCAACTCTTTGATAATCACAGAAGTATCTCCATTCTCGACATCTCTCGGAAGATGCTCCCTCGGCCTATTCTCGGTCGTCTCAACAGTCACCCGGAGCAAATAATACTCCAGGAAGGCCAACGCGGTTTTCGGGGACAGCGAGGAACCACTGACAGGGTCTTCGCCACTCGTCAGCGACGTGTCAGGGGCTGAGAACCCACCTCTGCCCTGCATTCGCGGGTCTGACGAAAGCCTTCGACATGAGGGATTGTGGAAAAGCATGCTTACTTTCTTCCACTCTCTCAAGTCTCATGTCCATTGCCATCCTGATAGACGCCTATCGTGACGAGTGCCCCGGGACAGGCATCGTGTAGAGAATTGACAGGCATCTTCTCAACAACAGGCGCATGCAGGTCCCAACACGTCTGTCTACCTGCTCCTCGCTGAAGACCGCGTGCTCAGCACCACGGCCGAGGAGGACATGCAGCGGAGCATGAGCTTTCTCAGCGTCGGATGCGCCAAATTCACACCAACAATCAACACGGAAAAAAACGGTGGTAATGCACCAACCGTCACCCAACGCGGAATACAGCACTCCTTGATTCGATGTCAACGACAGCCAACTTAAAACCGTGGACAACTTTACTTATCTAGGAAGCAGACTCATGCGCAGCACAAAAATCGACGGCGAGGTTGCCGCACGGATCTCGAAGGTTAGCTAGGCATTCGGCTGGTTGCAAGCCCCCGTGACGAATTGCTACGGCTTTAAGCTGAACGGCAAATTGAAGAGGTACAAGGCCGTCGTCTTGAAAACAATTCTGTACGGAGCGGAGACCGGGGCCGTCTACTTCAGCCATGCTAGGAAGTTCAATCGCTTCCACCTCGGTTGCCTCCACTGAATACTGAAGTCCATTTGGCAAGAGAGGATCACGGGACTAGGAGTAAAGAATGAGGTCGAGGTTTCAGCGCAGTTTTCTCACAATAACCAACCTGGCGAGCTCGAAGCTATCACGGTGCATTAGAAGCCGTGGTTTGTAAGGTTGCCAATTGTTGGGATAACTCGAACCTTGCAGTCAGACCAGTGTACGTCTTTGTAGAGTAGGCGACTGGCGGACTGAGAGTCAGGCTGCAATAGTCCCTTCTTAATATGGTCTCTATGGTGTTTCCAATCTGTGGGATCCGAGCCGGGTGTGGTAGCACGCCTAGGTGCGGGTTTTCGTCGTGCCAGGCAACTGCGCCCTCCCTCTTGGCTATGTCTTGACACCGGGTCCAGGTGAGAAGTAGGAGGGATTGAGGTAGGTGCTGTGCAAGTCTCCTGTCATTGGCCTCTGGTTCTGGTTACTGGCTCTGGCCCCTGTTGCGGCGTTGATGTTGATGTTGCTGCTGTTGGTCAAAAACTTGGTCATTTGCTGTGTGGACCAGGAAGTGTGGAGCGGAACGCCTACGTGCGGACTCGACCGCATCATCCACCGGCGTCCTCCTCCGCCTCGGCTTTTTTGACTCTGTCTCGACACCGGATCCAGGTGGGGGAGGAGAGAGTGCGGTGGACGCTGTGCAAGTCTACCATCACTATAAAATACATTTTTCTGCAATTGACCGTGCTGCTCCCAGGCTGTTGTAGATCACTCGGTGGGCACCGCCGGAAACGACGGCCGAACTGTCGGTTGTGTGCACAGTTGGGAAAGAGGCGCTTCAGGTCAAGCCAGAGGGTGACCGTGCGCTTGTGGTGTGCCTGCAGGTTAGTGTTGTTGTCGCGACCGTCGACTGACAAGCAGGGACCGAAAAAGGGGCACTGGCGTAGCTGCTGTGAGCACTCTTCCTGAGTGGTTTACGGTACCGGAGTATTCATCACGTTTGATTTCAGCGAAAAGATAGGTGAGATGTGGTTACGTAGCCCCACCTGATGGACGTAGTACTGTTGCGGTTGGGGTTAAAGGTAGGGGTTAGGGGTTAAGGCAACTAATTGTCAACCACTAACATTACAACCACGCATTCCCAAAAGATTTTCTTTTGTGTACAACTACTTGACCTCGTCGCCTGTGCGTTTTCCGGCTCCACCTGTAAAAAGTCCTATTATCACCGGTCTCGAATTACAGGCGGCCAGGGTTTGTTTACTTTAGGTGAAACTACATAACCACACCTGACCCAAAGATTTTTATTTGTATCCTCTTCCTCAGTGACTTTAACGGACCTTCCTAAGAAGCGTAATGCGTGTCGGTCACTCGTCTGAGGAGGCTCAGTGGGGACAGAATTTTATCGATCGGAAATGGGTTTGTTAGAAGTTTGGAAAGGATATCTTTATCTTTAATCGAGATGAACAGGACTTCTCTAATTATTTTCGGGAGGTGAAATTGTTGGAGATTCTACGTCGACCTGTACTTTCACGAAGAAGTAATGATCAAGGGAACACCCTGTGTTAGTCAGTCTGGTCACACGTGGATCAGTTGATTTCCTCCCTAGGTTCAACAATCAATCCAGCGGCCCATTTATGTACTATTTCTTGTATACCAACGAGCGTGTGATTTTTCACTAATGCAGGAAAAGACAGGAGATTGTCTCACATTCTCATCCATCGAGCGCTTATTCTTTTGTGCCCAATTCAACATCAAGACAACGATGACGGTTGGTGGCAAATAACATCAGAAAGTAGTAGAAATTGAAAGTGTATTAGAATATACAGGGCTGTAATTGTTGCAAACTCTTTAATACACTACTTTAGCGTCACACTTGGGCCACGTATTTATTAAACCAACGACCGAACACTAAATATTTGAATGCGATGCAAACAAATATTTTTTGGACGCATCCGCGGACTACAATTGGTATCCAATCAAAATATCGCTCATATCTTATGCTCAAGGGCAGTTGGATTCGCCTCAGAAAAATTAGCTTAAAGATTGCCCAACTAGGCGAAAGAAAATTCCTCATGGCTTTCATTGATTTCTCACTGAAGGTTCTTCTCAGAAGAACTGACCAGAGCGTTCTTAGTGATAAAATGTACCTTCTGTAACACTTTTGACAGCATTTCTTCATATTTGTCCGCTATTCGGTAATTTAACAGACTAAATTAGATAAGCAACATTTCACCGCACTTTGACCTTCATAAGAAATGAAATCCTATTTTACGCTTTTCGATCGTGATTGATGTATTGCTTTGATAAAATCCATTAGACCCCCTTAATTCGAGCCAAGGTAGATAGGTGTTCTGCTTTAAATCATCTAATATGTGCTCCCTAACGCCCAAACAGCAAACCTAATGCATGTTCCTTTCATTTAATTAAGACATTCACGCTCGTTTCCCTTTAATTTTCTGTCATGCTTTCCCCCCATAGTTCCTTCACCAGGCGGGCAGATATGCTTGCATCAAAATCCATAGAAAGTTGGGAGCTCCGTCAATGGACGAATGTATTTGTATTTGGAGACATTGTTTGCGTCCACGAATCTTCTTTAGCCTCCGAACTTCCAGTCTGTTCCTAAGTACAATAACGCATGAAATGCCAACCGAAATTCCGAAATGGGTTTGCGTTTAGAAAAGATTAATTAAGAAGGGTTGTAAA